AAAAAAAAAAAAAAAAAAAAAAAAAAAAAAAAAAAAACAAGGCCAGATGTGATAATACACATTTTTAATTCTAGCAAAGAGATAGGGTCAGGCAAATCTCTTTGAGGTCTCTGTACTAAGTTCCAGGCCAGCCAGTGCTACACTGGGAGACCCTGGGCTCAATCTCCAGTATAGCAAGGGGCAGGAGGAGAGGATTCTTTTGTTTAATGGCAAATTTGTCTTGAAAGTCCCAAGGATTAGAAATTATCAGAGGCTTAGAAACCTGGCTCATGGCAGCAAACTAAAGACTATGATTTTAATATACAAAGGTGCCTGAAACAATAGGACAGGCTGATTCTAAAAAGTGATATGCCATATGTTGCAGAACTGGGAGATAACTTAAAAAGCTTAGAAGGCATACTTAGAAAAATATACTTTGGGATATTAATGTGCTCATAATGGTACCAGCTGTAGAGAACATTGGTAACAACCAAATAGTCTATTAAAAAGTAAAAGATGGCAATTACGTATTTTAAAAGTTTGAGGCAATAGTTTTCTCCTAACATGACACCAACATTAGACAGGAAAATTTTTGCTTGATAGACTATTATTCTTAAACAAAATAACATTTCTTTCATTTGATTGTTTAATTTTTAAAGACCATTCTTTTGAACCCATGTGCTATATAACTTTGTAAAAACCCTGATAGTTTATCTGGTGAAATGAGCCATATTATTTCAACATTTAAACTAGAGACTAATATAGACAAACTATATAAACCAGAGACTAAAATTAAGACCTATGATAATTTCTTCTTCTGCTAATGAAACAATTCCTATTCCTATTAAAGATTTAATACAGAAAATGATAGTAACCTGAGATTAATGTGTTCATTTAGAAACCAGGTTTACAATAAATATATCTGTATGAAATTTAAGAACTTACCTCAAGTTTAGAAGCAATGAACAATGAGGTAATCCCAATGAGTTGAAGCATATTTTTATTTACATCTTTCTGTGTCAACATAAATCTGTCAAAAAAGTCTTGGGCAAGGTAAAATGTCTCCCTATGAAGTGTGTATACTTCACAAACCTGAAGGATAAAATATTCAAATATCATCTCTAGAGCTTTTCCAAAGTATAAAGTCATCTTTATTATACCAAATTATGGACTGCTTTGAGGCTAATATATTAACACAATGGAGGGATTAGTATGTATGGCTAGTGAGCCCATTATCATCCTCATGCTCCTAATTTTACAGCTTTGCCTTTTCATATTTTTTGTAGGCTAATATAGAAACATTGGTCATAAAATCTTTTCATGATTTTGATTTACTGGTAATTGCCCTCATTTTCATATTAATAAATATTGCCATTCCCACACTTAAAGATTTTAACTTTCAAAGTTAGTCCATGAAATGGGTGCCATTATCTCCTTTTTGGAAACGAGTAAACAGAAACAATAACAGATGAGTTTAAAACAAGCACTGAGTATATTAAGAACTATTCTGTTCCTATCCAGGAATGACACCTGGTGAATGGCTCAGTAGCAAAGAGCTTGTACTGGTTCCTGGAATCAGAATCTAGGCAGCTTATCACTGCTTATAACTTCAGTACTAGATCTGATGCCCACTTCAGGAGAGATGTTGCATTTTTTTTCAACAATGAACTTATTTTTACATTCATACAAAGTAAAAACTTTAATTAATAGAATTCTGATTTATTGATGCCATTATAACTAGATATTCAGAAATAGACCGTATGTTCAATTTCAGATCCCCCAAATGAAAAAAAAGCAAACTCTATTGTTTCCTTTCCATGCTGTTAATGGATAATCTCACGGACAATGACCTGATAACACAACCTCATTTTATAGTCTTGGAAACATTTCTGATAAGTTCTGAGATCTACCATGTTTACCTACCAGAAGGTCCACCCAGTCTTCCTCCCTTAGAATAAATCTACAACTTCCCCCTAATGTTAGGGATCAAACCCAGAGCTTCACTGTGCTGGGTAAGCATTGGCCACTAAGCCCCTTAAATTTATTTTGAGATAATATAACCTGTACTGGCTTGCTTGAAACTTGTAAATCCTCCTGCCACAATCCATCATCTCCTATCAGACTACAAAGCAAATATCCAGGGGTGGAAGAAAATCAGTTTAACATCAAATAATTGTTTCCTCAGCAGTAATTTGAGGGACCTATAATAATCCAGAGACGGTGAATGGACCCAAATAATAAAAAAAAAATGTTTGCATGAATTTAGAGATTTCAGGCTTACTGATACTCCCTTTAGCCCTAACCTTTCTGCCTCAGCCTTTGTGGGTTGCAGGCATATACAACAGAAGTATAGTGTATTTCTGAAAGGAAGCTAAATGGGACTTAGAGGACTTGGGGCCTCTGGGTATCCAAAACTTCTTGGCTTAGGATTCATGATTTGGCTTTGATAATGCAGAAAAAGGATGTCCAAGGGCCTTGAAGTCTAAGCTGGTTCTTTGTCTGCTTGTATTCAAAACCTAGTCAACTATACATTCTATCACCTTTAGTACCCTCAAGTAGAACCAAACCTGGCAGGTTGGGGATTTCTGATTGTGGTTTGGGTTGGATCACAGAAGGTATATTCTTGGGATTTTACTCTCTGCTTTGGTACTGAGGACACACTACCATTAGCTATGCTCCAATTCCTGGTTTTACCCTTAAGAAAGGTAGCTGGTCTGGGGTTGTAGTTCAGTGCTGGCCTAACACACAAAGGCCCTAAGTTCAATCCCCAGCACTACAAGGAAAAAAAAAAATCAAGTCATATTCTACTTTAGGTGCTACAAATTAGTTTGTGCCCTACAAAAGGTAGTTTCCTGGTACTGGATAGCATGGCCTGAAGTCACATGGAAAGCACTACCCATCCAAATACTTTTCCATTATAGACAAAAAGAAATTTCTAATTTTTGAACATACCTCTAAAAGCCAGTCTAAAAGTATTGACCTCATCTGTGGTTCCAGGTCAGAATGCAGAACTTCAAAATGTTTGTCATGCACGTATCTGCTCTCCTTTTGTAGCATGTTTAGCCAAACCTCCTGTGAACACCCCCAGCTACATGGGGGAGGGGGACACATAATTGATACCTTGTCATCTATACAAGTTTGGTTTACAATAGCATAACCCCACATTTCAAACTTCCAACTCCAACTTCAAATTACACACTGAAAAAAGTAGCTCTTGGCATCAACTCGAAAGATTTCCACTTTATTGGTAAATTTCAGGAATACTGTATAATCCTTATAATTTTTAAAAGTTACGATTTAAGGTACCATTTAAAAGCAAACTAGAAAAAATTTAAAATAGATTATCTCAATGATTAAGTCCCAACACTTAAAAATATATCAGCAGCAGCACTTATGTATCAGTATCATTTATAATGGGGTTAAGGTGGAACAAAGTAGTAGGTGCATGAGGACGATTTATTATGTATTTGACTATTAATTTGCTTATTCAAGTTAAATGTCAATTACTACATAAATATTTTTTATAAGCTATACCTCTTAGTCATATCATATCTGATAGTAACCTTGGTAAGGAATAAGTGGCGTTGATAAGTCAATTGAAAATGTTCCCATTTTTATTTAAGCTACATTTAAAAAGTAGTTCAGTTCTTCGTAGTCTGGGTTTTAAATATATCACTGGCTATCACTTGAAAATATTGTCTCATGTAGAATGATACCTGTTTTTCAGTAAGGGAAGTATTAAAAAAACCAAGTCTCCCTATTTTATAATGGAGTCAAAAGAAAATACATGGCATTATTTTAATTCTGTTTTAACTTTTGATATGAAATTACTGGAAAAATTTTACCTTAAATCTGGCAGAGGTGAAGGATTAATAAAAAGATTTTTAAATCTGTAATTTGTAAATCTAGAGAAGTCACTTGTTTCTATTTCTTTATGGGGCGTTTCAATGATAATGCAAGGACTGATTCCTCCAGACAGTACAGGTGGCCAACAATTCTGTCATTTCAAAAAAGAAAGAGAAAAAGTTATTAGTCTATCTGGAAACCATAGCTTTTGTTCTTCAAATGACGGCCAATTAGATATCCATATTAAAATTTTAAAGCCATACAATTCATACCAGTCTTCATAAATTAGATAGCAAATCCTGGTAATACAAGATATTAAGTATTGAAATAATGAATGCATTTGTAGAGTAAAATAATTTTTAAAAAATTGTTGAAATTCTCTGGATTTAGAAATTTTAGCAGGACAACCTCCAAAGTCACAGAGAAACCCTGTCTTGAAAAACCAAAAAAAAAAAA